ATATATATATATATATATATATATATATATATATATATATTATTTTATATAGTTTTATAAAGAATAAAACAAAAAAATTCATTGCATATAGTATTGTCACTTTGTCGCATAGCTTTGTAGTTAATAGACATCTTCCCGAACTATTAGAGCATAAGTTCGATCTTGACACCGAGTCTGTGATTACTATCATTTAGAAGAGGTATTCTAAAAAAAACAATCTAACATTTTTAGACATAGTTCAAAATTAAACAGACGAAATTTTCTCACTCACTTATTTATTACGTGATTCATAGAAAATTTATTTCATTTAAAATATTTTTGGATAATTTTTTTCAGAAACAGTTTTATAAAAAAATAATAAAATAAATTTTTTTTATAACTAATGTGTTAGTTATCTCCTATTGATTTCTTTAAAATCTTATTTTAATCATACATAAACTAGTTTTAATTTTAATATAGATAAAATATTTGGGTTTTTTTTTCATTTTTTTCCCATAAAAATATTTTTGAAGAAAATTATCTAAACATACTCTTATTCATGGTCCATCTCCAACATATATATATATATTTACAATATTTTAAATATCTTTGAGCTATTAGTCCGTGAGCTATTTTAACATTTTCAATTAAGTTCATCTACTTAGTCGGAACATACAAGTCTAATTAAGAATCCAATAGAAAATATTTTGTATCTTTTCCGACCAAATTACAACTTTTTTTTTTTTTAACAGAAAGTCTTGTTACATTAAAAATCCTAAAATAGTTTTAAAAAAACTACAATTAATTAACCAAAAAAATTGTCACACTAATTTAATGGTAATTGAGCTATGCCGACATTTAATATAAACATAATTTATATTGTAGTAAATCGCAACACTATAACATGAATAGATTAAGTTACACGATTAAATATAAATATTTGAATTAAAAAAATGACAAGTTGACAAGCTCTTGACCTTGTGGGCTTTTTTAGATATTACTGAATTTGAAAGCCAACACTGCACTTACTACTTATGAACCCACTTTTATGATTATTGATTTGAATTTCAAAGCCAAGGCAACAAAAGTCCCATGTGTTCCTTTATTTTTGCCTGACTTTCCCCCCTTACTTTAGGCCTTTTTAGATTTTCTTTTCTTTTCTTTTTTGTTTTAGACTTCAGATTTTTTCTTAATTAGAGATGAAATTTGATATCATATTAAATTTGTGTCGTGACCTTAGTGTTGGGACATGAGAGAGGGTAAGCTTTCGGCTTAATAAATGACCTTCTTATCCAAAAAAAAATGTCAATTAATACTTTAATTTACATGTACAACATTGTAGCTTCCATGACACCTTAGCTTGGTTTTGTAACAGTTCCAAACACACATCATCAATCTTTTATCCATTAGGACACAAAACAAGATAAACTCTGTTGCATGCAGAAGGGAGAAGCTACCATAATTTTTTATTTTTATTTTTTACTTTTGATTTATTAACCAATATCTTAAAGACACTAGTTAGCATTTTCCTTACAAAATTATAAATTTAAAACAAATTTAATGCTATCAATTAAATTAACCAATTTTTTTAATTATAGTATATTAGGTAATTGAATTTTATAAAGAGGGTAGAAGAGTTTATGAAATATGTTTAATTTTATCTAAGTTTAATTTGACTTGTTAACTCAATATAGAGCTGGATTGAACCATCAAGATTACTTATGTTTGGTAACTATTTTAAACACAATATGATGTGAATATTTAGAAGAAAGTGTGTTTAGCTTCTGCATCAATTTTAGAAAATAAGATGAAAAATCAAGGAATATATATTTATGGATAGATGTTGATGTAATAAGTACTAAATTTCAAATTTAAACTTTATTATTATTTTTATAATCTTTCCTATCACTAAGTTTTCCCACCCAATAACCATTAATTATATCTATTATTATGAATCACCAATTATAAATACTTAAACAAAATCAAACTAATGTTATATTATAATTACCCTAAAAAATGTTATAGAATAATTGGGTTAGTTATTAGTTTATAGATGGAGTTATACATATTTAATTTATAAATAATGTTTTTTTTACATTAATTAATAGTTATAATCAATTAGTTTATCTATTTGGTATATAAGTCATGTATTGATTTTGAGTAATGTTATATCTTTCGAAATAATCGCTCGAAAAATTTTTCAAACACTTGAAAGATTCACGTTGATTAGCTTACACATTTGACTTTTCAAAAAAGTTAACAATTCGGAAGGTATTTTAAAATTCAGTTTGGAGGATTTAGTATTTTTTTTATTGACTTTTACGTGGTTCATCTTTGATAATTGTTTTTGAGTTTTAAATGATATTCTTACTACCACATGCATGCACTGTGTCTGTCTCAAGTGGTGCCGTGTTTCTAAACAACTCGCAATTGCAAGTCGCATGAACCTAAAAAGTGCTAACTAGCGTCAAGAAACCTAATTTGAATTTTGAAACATTGATAGAATCTTCACTCAAATATGAAATTCCACTTTTGTTGTGCACATTTTCCTAATGTGTGCATGTCTGTAAACCACCGTACGTCAGAATTTCTATTATTTGAGAAGGGAAAGTATTGAAGAATATCCCAAAGTGAAGAGATTTGGCAGAAAAAGTCCAGAAACAAAAAAATAAAATAGTGGTAGGAGTTGGAATTAGTAAATAGTAAGCACAAAGTAATGTATTTTTTTATTATTATAATTTTTATTAATATTAAAATAATATTTAATACTTGGTTTTTGAATTTTTTTTTTTTATAATTTTTCAACTAGGTCTTAAAGTAAAAAAAAAAATTGTAATTAGAACATCTATTTTTATTTTTTTTATAATTTAGTTATTGGAGTTAGAATTTTTTTTAACAATATATGAAAATTTACAAAAATATTTTTTATGCATTTAGATGATAACATTGAATAATAACGCACATGTTAAAAATATTTAATGAAATTTCATGAATTTTAAATGAATTTCTAACTACAAGATTATATTACAAAAAATATAAAAAGATGAGGAATTTAATTACAAATTTTTTAATTCAAGAATCAAAGTAAAAGTTTCTAAAAAAAATCATAAACTATAAACCAAAGAGTAATGCACCACTTTTTTAATTTGAAATATATAAATATATTTTTTAAGACAAATATGTCTTTATAATAGACATTTTTTTTCTACTTTTTTCAATCCAAATACGTTTAAAAACTATTTTTTTCTCCATTATTTGAATGTATTTGACAAAACATTTGATGATTTTAATAAGTTAATTTGATTAGTTTATAAGCTACTTTGATAAAAATAAGTTTGTTTAGTACACATGTTTATTTTATTAGCATTTACCTTATTTAAATTTGAATAATTTATTAAAATAAGTTGGTTTATATGTTACTATGTTTAAAAAAAAAAATTATTAATTTATTTGAAACATTATTTTATCCAAAATAACTAAATATGCTATTTTATATTATTTTATATTCATTAACTAATTTTTCACTTAATCAACTAAATACTTTCAATTCAGTTAACTTATAAATTTTCGTTTTTCAACTCACCAAGAGTTTATAAGTTTCAGCTGGTTTGACTAGAGACACTCAACTTACCTGTTTACTCTTTTTTTTTTTTTTCTAAGAGTTTATATTCTTAGAAATTATATTCCTAAGAATAATATAACTTAAAATATTATTTTTACGTAGAAATATAAGAGAAGATGCTTAATTCATATTAATATTATAGTTTAAATAAAAATTATAAAAAAAATAATTTCTAATATTTTTATGAAAATATCACTTATCCACCATTTCACCGAGAAAATAAAACCTTCCTACTCATAAAAATATTATTTTATCAAGAATAAAAGATATTAAAAA